GATGTTTTAACATGAATTGTCATACTTTGGCGTGCCAATTATCAATTAATATTGTTAAATTTTACGATCAAATACCCACCTCTCAGAAAGCATAGCGCAGACTGAGGGAGGCGCTGCTGAGTAGCTCAGAAAGCACGTTGTGCGGGCTTTCTCTTAAAGTGACAGTACAGGCATAAATGAGCAACACTTCTGACATAGTAATAACGAACGAAATATGGCTAGAACTTGCCTCTAAACGTGAAATACTGATTAAACAACTAGTAAAGTGAAGGATTTGGTGAACTTCACTTACAAAAATAAAAGTACCATTTCTCCTTGGTTACATTCACCCCTCCTGAACTTCACCAACATCCTGAACGCAGTCCTTACAGGATGGAGAGGAGGATATGTCCGTCTTGAAATAGTCTGTCACAAGCAACCCAATGGACCTAGCCCATAAACCAACTAAGAAGTTACCTCTGCACAAGGCACAGAAAATAAAGAGGGTGATCATGTCTCAATATTCTCATAGGTAAATGCGACGCCTTTTACGCCACACAGCGCTTGGACCCATAAACACATTCCACAGACATTGAAACAAAAATATAGCCAAAGGACAATGTGAAAAAATTAATAAAAGAAAATTACAAAAATCCCCTAAGAAGAAGACTTGGGACCTCTGAACAACGGTACTTGTACCATAGACTCAAGCAATCTGTTCACTGACTTCACCAATCTCCCAGCACGGGTTCTCATTTGGTTGTCAACCCCTATGCCCGAGTCAGAGTCATTGGTAACTGGAGTAAGTGAACGTGTATCTGTCACCGAGTCATGGTCAGGTAAAACAGTGTCAGGTTGAACTTGACAGTCCGTAACAGTCAGTGGGCTTGGTGTATCTGGGTCAACACTCACGTCAGGTGAGATTTGCACGATCTCAGTCTCATTGGGCATGAATATGGCAGAGGCATCGTTGGTACTGTCCATATCATCACTGAGCAGAGAAAACTCCATATCTCCCACGGTTTGATTGTCGGGGAGAGGCAGGAAGTTGACGTTGAGCAGGAGATTCCTGTGTACAACTTTTGTGCGTCCATCCACATCACTGATTTTGTAAACATGAATGTTGGGGTTTGCATCAACAACAGTGTACACTTTGTCTTCCCATTTATCGGCAAGTTTCCTCTTTCCTCGTTCTCCTTTGTTTGCCACCAAAACGCGGTCTCCCACTGACAGAGAATTCCCTTTAGCACGTTTGTTGTACTGTTTGGCTTGGTGATGCTGTTCAGAGGAGGCATGTTTTTGTGCAATTTCCATGGCACATTTGAGAGAGAAAAGCAGGGCAGTGGCATACGAGTCATAATCCGCAACAGTGGGGTCACTCAAAACCTGCCTGAACATTATGTCGACTGGCAATCTTGGGACCCGTCCGAACATCAGGAAAAACGGTGCGTAGCCAGTTGTTTCATGGACAGTAGCGTTATAAGCGAACGTGAGGGATTGAATCTGTTGTGGCCACTGTTGCTTGTCTTTCAAGGGAAGCGTTCGCAGCATATTACCCAAGGTGCGATTGAAGCGCTCTGTGCCCCCATTCCCCATAGGGTGGTACGCAGTAGTGTGGGACTTAGCGACACCTGCCAGCCTGAGAAGCTCTGCTATCAAGTTGCTTTCAAAATTGGTGCCCTGGTCGGAATGAACTCTCATGGGAAAGCCGTAGACACAAAAAACATTATCCCAGAGTTTTCTTGCGACCTGCTTAGCTGTTTGGTTGGCACATGGGAAAGCATGGGCTAGCTTGGTAAAATGGTCAGTAACCACTAGAACATCGACTGATCTCTGCTTGCTGTCTTCTGCTGACCAAAAATCTATACAAACTAGCTGCATTGGGGCAGAGCTTTTGATACTCTCAAGTGGGGCTCGAGCGGACGGTTCTGGTGATTTACCAAATACACACCTTGAGCAACATTTGACATACTCCCGCACATCTTTCTCCATGTCGGGCCAGTAAAAACGTTGCCTAGCTAGGGAAAGGGTGCGGTCCTGGCCCTGGTGACCAGCCATGTCGTGGAGGCCAGACAGTGCTTTGTCTTTCAGATTGCGTGGCAAAACATACTGCAAGCGTTTCTGTTTGGACATCGGATCACGCGCCACTCTGTACAGTACATTATCACGGACGACCAACCTGTCCCACTGCTTTAACAATCTAAGCACTTGAGGACTCACACCAAACTTTTCTCGCCTAGACGGACGTTTTTTAGCTGCAACGAACGGCAAGACATTGGAAATCACATCATCCTGTTGCTGGCCTGACTGAAGGTCTGAAGCGGCTAAAACTGGGGGAGAGTCCTGATCAATAGATAACTGTTGGACATATTGGACCAAACTGACTGCCCTAGACTCAGCTGCACAATCCCACTCACTATGTGATTGACAAAGCGCTTTAACCTCGGCTGAACTACACATGAGTTTGTTACACTCAAGGGCTGACGAGTTAAGGGCTTGGACCTGACTGCTGACTCTGAAAACATCCTGCACAGATTGCTCACCTATCTCATCTGCTTCTTGGATTAGCGAGGAGTAGGGTTCTGATAAAAGTCTTGCAAAGGGGACACGGCTAAGTGCATCCGCCACCACATTACTCTTCCCTGGCAAATGTTTCAGATTAAAAGAGTATGACGAGAGCTTCGCCACCCAACGCACCTCACAAGCATCGAGTTTTGGTTTTGTTAGGAGATACGTCAGAGGATTGTTATCTGTCCACACAGTGAAACACCGCCCCTTGAGCCAGTGGCTAAATTTATCACAGACACTCCACTTTAGAGCCAACAGTTCCAGTCTGTGCGCAGGGTACCGCCGTTGTGCTGCACTTAGGGTCTTGCTCGCGAAAGCAACAGGCCTGGCTTTAGTCTCACCTTTGGGTACTTGAGAAAGTACAGCACCAAGGCCGTCTAGCGACGCATCAGTTGACAAGACGAATGGCTCATCAAAGTTTGGATGGGCAAGAACAACACATTCCAAAAGCATGGATTTCAACTGCTCAAAGGCCTTACCGCATTGATCGGTCCAATCTGCAGGAGTGAGTTTACGAAAGGTGCCCTGTGATTTCTTTGTCTTTGCTGACTTGCCCTTTCTCTTTTGACCAGCTGTTAGTGCGAACAGGGGCCTTGCGATGGAAGAGCAGTTGGGAATAAAGTGTTGGTAATAGAACACCATGCCAAGGAATGATTTGATGCGCCGAACTGAGGGCGTGCTGTTATCTATCTCCAGGAGATCAGTAACTTTCATGTTTGTAATAACTTCAACTTTTGAAGGGTCCACAGCCACACCTGAACCATCAATGACATGGCCAAGGAACCCCACTCTCTCTCTCAGGAAGTGGCACTTTTTGGGAGCCAGCTTCAAATTGTATTCTCTGAGTCTCTGGAACACAGTTTGGAGTCTCAATAGCGCCTCCTCCTCTGAAGGTGCAAAAACGAGGAGATCGTCAAGATAGCACAGAAGTTTTGAAAAGTTCATATCTCCAAATATTCCAATCATCATCCTCATAAATGACGCAGGACTGTTGCATAGTCCCTGTGCCATGCGGTTGTATTCATGCAGCCCCAGAGGAGTTGTGAAGGCGGTGTATTTCTTGTCCTCTTCCTGCAATGGGACATTGAAGAAACCTGAGGTCAAGTCCATAGTACTGAACAAGCAGTTGCCACCGAGAGCAGCCAAACAGTCGGCCTGATGAGGGAGAGGGTGGGCGTCTTTTAAAGTTCGGGCATTCAACCACCTAAAATCAGTGCAAATCCTCAGTCCACCATCCTTTTTCCACACCATGACTAACGGTGAAGCGTACTCACTCGTGGACTTCCTGATTATCCCTCTTTCCTCCATATCACTGAGCACTTGCCGCAACTTTTGATAGTGTGCAGGTGGGACTCTCCTGTATGGTAAGCGAAAAGGACGATCATCAGTGAGACGGATGCGGTGTGTGTAGCCCTTGACCTCTCCACAGTCCAGCGAATGTCTAGAGAAAATGTCCTGATACTCAATCAACATCTGAGCAAGCTTTAACTTACATGCTTCTGATACACGGCATGAGTCAATATCAACATCCCCAAGGCCTAAATCGGACATGGTTTTGGCTAAGCTGTTCAGGTCACAAGGCTTGTGAGATGTACTACTGTTCTGCTCAGAGTCACCTTTCTGGTCACTTGCAGCCACGTGTAGGCCCTGGAAAAGATCTAAATCCTCAATCGCTAAGCAAGGTGAAACATCGGCCAATTTGCAGTTTCTCTTTAGCGTGATAGGCTTGTCAGTGGGATTAACGACTGTCATTGGCACCCACCTATCACCCCATAACGGTGTAACTAGGCGACCCAGTAAAACACTACGTGGCATGGCTTTTGAGGAGGTCGGCGCTACTATAACAGTACTGCCAGGTGACATAGGTACGTTTGCCGGCAGCCTACCCCAGACCAAGTGTTCGTGTTTTGGGAGCAAAGTGACTGCTTGGGTAAGTTTAACCGTGCCTATCTTGTCAGGAACAGCACTACCCTTCCAGAGCTCAACATTGGTGAACATTGACAGAAAACGATCAATCTCAGGGTCTAAATGGGGACTTTGTTTAGATGCAATATTCCAGTAATCATCGACCCCTTTCATGACATGGATGATGTGCTTTATTACATTCGAGCCCAAAATGAGATCATCGTGCTGGCCAGGCACAAGTAACGTGGACACAATAACTTGTACGCCATACAGATCCATTTCCAAATCATAAAAGCCCTCAGGTTTTGTTTGAAGACCACCACAGCCGATTAACACTACTTTTTCAGCAGGCTGTTGCTTCTCAGGCAGCACACCCGCGGCGCGTAACTTTTCAACAGCACCTTCACTTATGCTACATGCCATTGAGCCAGAGTCCATCATGCCACTTAGAGTAACGCTTTTATTAATCTGGACAGGAGTGTAAAACAGCTCACCAAACGGCTGGACTTTCTGAGTACACTGAACAATCATTTGAGTCCCATTTGGTGCTGTAGCACAAGCATTACTGTAAATCTCAGCCAGGTCATTTTGTGAGAGGGAATTGTCCATATTACCCACACCGCCCCTCGCCAGATGCAGGTTCTCTAGTTTAACGGATAATTTTGCGGACTAGGGGAGGCGGAGGGCTTATTTCGATACTGATTGCCACGGGCTGTACAGTCCTTTTTCCAATGACCAGGAGACAAACATTTGAGGCACCTGTTCTCTCTTTTACAATGGGACAGAGTGGAATGATCAGTGCTGTCACAAACTCTACATGCTCTCTGAGCGGGTTGGTTTGCAGTAGAGTGAGTGTACACTTTGGTCTGTACCTGAGTCTGTTGTGTAATCAAACGGTCTAACACACTGACCAGACTCCTCATGCAGTCTGCATCTACACCAGAAACAGGAGTAGGTGCCGCAGAGGGGGACGACTGCATTTGTGGCTGAACCTCACTAGTATTGGGGGCACCGTCAACCTTTGGCACACACTGGGACTGGGCTTTGTAGACAGAAGAGGTGGGCTTTTGCGGTTTTGCAATGGCAGCACGAGATTTCTTTTCCTGAAGGTTCTCGTCCAGCCTCTCCTGAATCTCACTGGCAGTCCACTTGTCTGCTGACTTGAACTTGAAAACATGAGAGAGAGTTTGATCAGGGCAGTGTTTGACAAACATCATACTGACTTCATGAGCTGGATCATCAATTTTGCGACCCTGCCTCCTCAAGCATTCATTTGCCACATCCACCGTCTTATTGAGTCTTATCCAATACTCCATAGCATCCTCACTCGGCATTGGTAGTGTGTTGTAAAAGTCCGCGAGGGGCATGCTCGAGTAGGTCATGTCACTAAAATGTTGTTTCAGTATGTCAAAAATCACTTGTGGATTAGCAGCATGGTCAATAGATCTGTCATTACGTAACTTAATCCTGAGTACATCTCCTGCTTTGCCCATGAGCTTTGCCAAAATTTCCTGTGATTGTTCTTGTAAAGGAACAGCTCGCTTCTTCAAGTACAGAGACATAAGGTTCTCCCATTCATGGACAGAGAACTTGTCCGAGTCATCCCCTCTAAAGATGGGCGGCTCCTTAACATCAGAACGCATAACAAAACTGATGTTAGGCTGAGTCAAGTCTGGGGTCTGAATAGTACTGTTAGTGTCATTGGTCATAGCCTTAGTGCTTTTGTCAGACTGCAGCTTGGCAGTGATAGATTCACCTATCTTATCAGCCAACTGTGCTATTAGTGTACTTAAATCAGGGCTCTGTTCAATATGACTAGGTTGTTCACGGTTAACACGTGTAGAGCAAAGTTGGGGACTAGCAAACACAGCGTCACAATTTCCCGGTGCTCTGGCTTCTGGGGTCTGAGCACGTAACCCCCTACCCACACCAAACTGGAAATGAAACGGGACACTGTCCGCACCACCATCCTCACGCTCAACGGTGTAAGTTCTACCCTCTGCCATGTTTCACACTTGTAAAAAAAATACAGTTTAGCAGAATGTATAATGCCAAATAAAATCAACGGGCATTACCAAAACTCAGTCCATGTAAAGGAAAATACCTCAATGATACAGAAAAAAAATTACAGCAGCTCCCCACGGTGTACGAGCTGACGTCGAACCTTGAACCAGTCCTTGAAAGGTCACGGCACCATTGTAACGGGTGTGGCTCAGTTCAACAGAGTCTTATGGACTCGGGGCACATCCGTTAACCCTTGTGGTCTCTGCGTTGTGTTCTGCTGGAGTACTGCGCGGAGAAGGAAGGACCAGGAGACGTGTTGATCACTGGGAGCACTTTTACTGGCAGTTCTCTCAGAAAGCATAGCGCAGACTGAGGGAGGCGCTGCTGAGTAGCTCAGAAAGCACGTTGTGCGGGCTTTCTCTTAAAGTGACAGTACAGGCATAAATGAGCAACACTTCTGACATAGTAATAACGAACGAAATATGGCTAGAACTTGCCTCTAAACGTGAAATACTGATTAAACAACTAGTAAAGTGAAGGATTTGGTGAACTTCACTTACAAAAATAAAAGTACCATTTCTCCTTGGTTACATTTTCAATGTCCTGCCACAAAATGTCCCGTCATTTGACTAGAAAACATGGAAATGAAAGTGACGTAGCCAGAGCATTGGCTCTACCTGTGAAATCTAAAGCACGTAAACTTCACTTTGATTTGATCAGGAATAGTGGAAACCGTGAGCACAATTTTGAGGTTTTAAAGGCCGGCATTGGAACTTTAGTCCCAGCTAAACAGCCAAATTCCCCAGTTAAATCCAGTGAGTTTTTGCACTGTATAGACTGTGGGGCATTGCTTAAGCGAAAGTCGCTGTGGAGGCATGTGGCCAGGTGCCGGCTTTCACAGAAAGATGCCCAGGCTAAACCAGGCTAAACCAGGCTAAACCAGGTAGAAGTAGGGTCCAGTCCCTCTGCTCCCTAGCCCAGCCTGTACCGGAGGGCATCAGCAAAAAGCTGTGGTCTTTAATTTGGGCAATGCATCAGGATGAGGTCACGGGTGTTGTCAAAGCAGAAAAGGGGATTCTGAGACTCGGAGAGCACCTGTACTTAAAACACGGGCATGATAAGACTAAGCATGATTACATTAGGCAGAAAATGAGAGAAGTCGGTAGGTTAATTAACGAAGCAAAAACCGCAGGGAAACTGAAAACAATTAAGGATTTCTTTATTCCTTCCAACTTTAACCATGTGATTGATGCAGTCAGGTCTGTGGCTGGATATGATGAGGAAACAAATCAATACAAGACTCCATCCTTGGCCCTCAAACTCGGCCATAGCCTCAGAAAGCTAGCAGATATTCTTGAATGTGACTCAAAAATGGAGCATTGTGTTGATGAACTATTTATTAAAAACCTCCAACGAAGCCGGCTGCTTTTTGAGAAGAGGTGGGACGTCTGTGTTTCTTCTGCTGCCCTACAGACCCTCCGGCAAGCCAAGTGGAACACTCCGGACCTGCTCCCTCTGACTGAGGACGTTAGAGCCATGCATGCACATATTGAGGTATGTCGACCTGAATATGTGCAAACCCTAATAAGTGAGCCAACGTCTAAGCATTGGTCTAAACTGGCAGTTTTGACTCTTTGTGAGGTCATCATTTTCAATCGAAGAAGGGAAGGTGAGGTTTCAAAGATGCCACTGACAGCCTTTACCTTAAGAAGTAAGACTGGGATCCATTCTGACATTGCTCTGGGACTGTCCCAACTTGAGAAAAAGCTGTGTCAGCATTTTCAACGCATTGAAATTAAAGGGAAAAGAAGTGGGAAAGTGGTGGTTCTTTTGACTCCTGAAATGATTGCTTCGATGGAGGTGCTGGTGGAGAACAGAAGGGCCTGTTCCATCTCTGACCATAACCCATACTTCTTTTCCCGCCCGGGTGCAGACACCCACATCAGGGGATCAGACTCCCTACGCCAGGTAGCCAAAGAATGTGGTGCGGTGCATCCAGAGATGCTATCCTCAACCAAACTTAGAAAGCACATAGCTACTATGTCTACAGTTCTCAATATGAAAGAGAATGAGATGGACATACTTGCCAACTTCCTCGGCCATGACATTCGCATCCACAGGCAATATTACAGACTACCAGAGGGGGCGCTGGAGCTGGCCAAAATCAGCAAAGTGTTGATGGCCATGGAGCAGGGAAGAGCCGCTCCCTCTGGAGACTGCTCCCTCTGGAGACTGCTCCCTCTGGAGACTGCTCCCTCTGGAGACTGCTCCCTCTGGAGGCTGCTCCCTCTGGAGACTGCTCCCTCTGCTCCCTCTGGAGGCCGCTCCCTCTGGAGACTGCTCCCTCTGGAGGCCGCTCCCTCTGGAGACCGCTCCCTCTGGAGACTGCTCCCTCTGGAGACTGCTCCCTCTGGAGACTGCTCCCTCTGCTCCCTCTGGAGGCCGCTCCCTCTGGAGACTGCTCCCTCTGCTCCCTCTGGAGACTGCTCCCTCTGCTCCCTCTGGAGACTGCTCCCTCTGGAGACTGCTCCCTCTGGAGACTGCGCCCTCTGGAGACTGCGCCCTCTGGAGACTGCTCCCTCTGGAGACTGCTCCCTCTAGAGACTGCTCCCTCTGCTCCCTCTGCTCCCTCTGGAGACTGCTCCCTCTGGAGACTGCTCCCTCTGGAGACTGCTCCCTCTGCTCCCTCTGGAGACTGCTCCCTCTGCTCCCTCTGGAGACTGCTCCTTCTGGAGACTGCTTCTTCTGGAGACTGCTCCCTCTGGAGACTGCTCCTTCTGGAGACTGCTCCCTCTGGAGACCGCTCCTTCTGGAGACTGCTCCCTCTGCTCCCTCTGGAGACTGCTCCTTCTGGAGACTGCTCCCTCTGGAGACTGCTCCTTCTGGAGACTGCTCCCTCTGGAGGCTGCTCCCTCTGGAGACTGCTCCCTCTGCTCCCTCTGGAGGCCGCTCCCTCTGGAGGCTGCTCCCTCTGGAGACTGCTCGCTCCCTCTGGAGGCCGCTCCCTCTGGAGGCCGCTCCCTCTGGAGGCCGCTCCCTCTGGAGACTGCTCCCTCTGGAGACTGCTCCCTCTGCTCCCTCTGGAGACTGCTCCTTCTGGAGACTGCTCCCTCTGGAGACTGCTCCTTCTGGAGACTGCTCCTTCTGGAGACTGCTCCCTCTGGAGACTGCTCCCTCTGGAGACTGCTCCCTCTGGAGACTGCTCCTTCTGGAGACTGCTCCCTCTGGAGACCGCTCCTTCTGGAGCCTGCTCCCCAGAATAATAAATAGGGGGTGGGAGTTTAAAAGTCTTAACTTCTTCCCACTCCTTTTCGAGCTGACTTTTTGTTAATAAAACAAAACATGTAATAGAGTTTATTGTTTATTTGTTGGACAGAGAATAGTCTCAGGACAGACTCTTGGACAGAGAATAGCCTCAGGACAGACTCTTGGACAGAGAATAGTCTCAGGACAGACTCTTGGACAGAGAATAGCCTCAGGACAGACTCTTGGACAGAGAATAGCCTCAGGACAGACTCTTGGACAGAGAATAGCCTCAGGACAGACTCTTGGACAGAGAATAGTCTCAGGACAGACTCTTGGACAGAGAATAGCCTCAGGACAGACTCTTGGACAGAGAATAGCCTCAGGACAGACTCTTGGACAGAGAATAGTCTCAGGACAGACTCTTGGACAGAGAATAGCCTCAGGACAGACTCTTGGACAGAGAATAGTCTCAGGACAGACTCTTGGACAGAGAATAGCCTCAGGACAGACTCTTGGACAGAGAATAGTCTCAGGACAGACTCTTGGACAGAGAATAGTCTCAGGACAGACTCTTGGACAGAGAATAGTCTCAGGACAGACTCTTGGACAGAGAATAGTCTCAGGACAGACTCTTGGACAGAGAATAGTCTCAGGACAGACTCTTGGACAGAGAATAGCCTCAGGACAGACTCTTGGACAGAGAATAGTCTCAGGACAGACTCTTGTCCCACAGATTTCAGTAAACGGTCTTACCAACACATATCAATGTGTAAATGGAGCAGAGCAGATTACTGAGCTGTGGCAGAAACATTACTATTAGATTTTTAATGTTTTCCAAAAGTAACTATTTTACTGTTGGCAATATTGATAACAATGAAGATGTGATTATGTCTCCTCAGGAAGTCCATGAGATTGTGATGAAGCTGGATAACAATAAGGGTTTCTGCTGTTTTCTCTGTTGGCCATTTGTCTTACGGGTTTTAAATACATGAGTCTTACCGGATTCATTACTGACGGCCATCTTAGCCTTTGTAAAAGATAAAAGTGCAAACACAAACAGTAAGGACAAGTATAGGCCCATAGCTCTGGCCAGCACCTTATCAAAGGTACTGGGCTATTCTGAACAAGATGGAGTTCATACTTACGTCTGTTTGGTTTCAGTCCACAGACTCATGCTGTATTGAGCTCGGTGTTATTCTCCTGTAAACAGACTCATGCTGTATTGAGCTCGGTGTTATTCTCCTGTAAACAGACTCATGCTGTATTGAGCTCGGTGTTATTCTCCTGTAAACAGACTCATGCTGTATTGAGCTCGGTGTTATTCTCCTGTAAACAGACTCACTGCTTCAGAGCCTGTGCAGGAAATCATCTTTTTACTTGTTTTTATGTGTTGTTGTTTGTCCTCTAATATGGACCTTTTACTCGTGTCCAAAATAAAGTATTGAATTGAATTAAATAGATAGCTTTAGCGTCAGCATTAGCATTAGCTTTAGCATTAGCTGCTGGAGACACCATCAAAGCAGACCCTCGTGTTTTTGTTTCTCACTCAGAAAAAAAACAAACGTGAGATTTTTACAGTTTTTATTCAAAGAAACAACATGAAGCACAAGTGTGGACCATCAAAACATCCACGTACAACAACTATATGTACAAGAACCCAAGGGACCATCAGGGACCATCAAGGCCCATTAGGGACCATCAAGGCCCATCAGGGACCATCAGGGCCCATCAGGAGGACCATCAAGGACCATCAGGGCCCATCAGGAGGACCATCAGGGCCCATCAGGACGACCATCAGGGACCATCAAGGCCCATCAGGGACCATCAAGGCCCATCAGGGACCATCAAGGCCCATCAAGGCCCATCAGGACGACCATCAGGAGGACCATCAGGGACCATCAAGGGGAACATCTGGTTTGAAACAGCCACTGATGTCGTCAAGACAGACTAAGCCTCAGTCAGGGAGCAGCGGCTCCAGTCAGAGCACCCTCAGTCAGGGAGCAGCAGTCCCCTGCTGTTGGGCCTGCTGCTGGCGGAGTATGCAGTCTCCGAGAGCAGGTTCTAGTTAGTTAAATATTCACATAGTGAAAAATGCCAAAATTATTGCATTTGTTTCATTAAAAAGAACAGATGTTTGTGACACGTTTGTATAAATAACGACTAAAGCAGGGGGCGCTGTTCTGTTCAGCGATTGAAAATAGATTGAAATAGATTTTGCAGAAGGGGCGGGGCATGTGCCCGGAGCCAGGATGGATCCAAAAACAGCTCCAGGTCTGTTTGTAGAAATGTAAAACAAAGTAAATAAAGACCGCAGTCCGAGAGTTCTTTAGAGCTTCAGTCCTGCAGTGAGTCATGAGACCGCGGCGAGTCATGAGACCGCGGCGAGTCATGTGACCGTGGCGAGTCATGTGACCGTGGCGAGTCATGTGACCGCGGCAAGTCATGTGACCGCGGCGCACACTGATGATGTCACGCTGCAGCTCTGCGTCATGAGAACTGGATCTGCTGCACCGTGGGGATCTGTGGAGGACATGGATTTATAGCACACTACAACAGCCTCTGCCTGGGTCCTGGTCTGGGTCTCGGTCCTGGTCCGGGTCTGGGTCCTGGTCTGGGTCCTGGTCTGACCTGTTGGTAGGAGGTGGTGTAGACCATGACGTTCTGCTGCTGTCCGTCTGCTGTGATGATCCCAGCGGGAATAGGGTTAGCTGCGGGTACACACATGGTCACACACACACAGTAACACATACGGTTACACACACAGTAACACACATGGTTACACACACAGTAACACACACACACAGCTGACTCACAGAAGCTCTCGTCGGCCAGTTCGTCTCCGACTCCGTCTCCAAGTGTGACTCCAGGCATCCCCTTCTCTCCCTTCAGCGCCTGCAACAGAGGCACGTGTACTGAGGCACGTATACTGAGGCGCGTATACTGAGGCACGTGTACTGAGGCACGTGTACTGAGGCACGTATACTGAGGCGCGTATACTGAGGCACGTATACTGAGGCGCGTATACAGAGGCACGTATACTGAGGCGCGTATACTGAGGCACGTATACTGAGGCGCGTATACTGAGGCACGTATACTGAGGCGCGTATACAGAGGCACGTATACTGAGGCGCGTATACTGAGGCACGTATACTGAGGCGCGTATACTGAGGCACGTATACAGAGGCACGTATACAGAGGCACGTATACTGAGGCGCGTATACTGAGGCACGTGTACTGAGGCACGTATACAGAGGCACGTATACTGAGGCACGTATACTGAGGCGCGTATACTGAGGCACGTATACAGAGGCACGTATACAGAGGCACGTATACTGAGGCGCGTATACTGAGGCACGTATACTGAGGCGCGTATACAGAGGCACGTATACTGAGGCGCGTATACTGAGGCACGTATACTGAGGCGCGTATACTGAGGCGCGTATACTGAGGCACGTATACTGAGGCACGTATACAGAGGCACGTATACTGAGGCACGTATACTGAGGCACGTATACTGAGGCACGTATACAGAGGCACGTATACTGAGGCGCGTATACTGAGGCGCGTATACTGAGGCGCGTATACTGAGGCGCGTATACTGAGGCGCGTATACTGAGGCGCGTATACTGAGGCGCGTATACTGAGGCACGTATACTGAGGCACGTATACTGAGGCACGTATACAGAGGCACGTATACAGAGGCACGTATACAGAGGCACGTATACTGAGGCGCGTATACTGAGGCACGTGTACTGAGGCACGTGTACTGAGGCACGTATACAGAGGCACATATAGTGAGGCACGTATACAGAGGCACGTATACTGAGGCACGTATACTGAGGCACGTATACCGAGGCACGTATACCGAGGCACGTGTACTGAGGCACGTATACTGAGGCACGTGTACTGAGGCACGTATACCGAGGCACGTATACTGAGGCGCGTATACTGAGGCACGTATACTGAGGCACGTATACTGAGGCACGTATACTGAGGCACGTGTACTGAGGCACGTGTACTGAGGCACGTATACTGAGGCACGTATACTGAGGCACGTGTACTGAGGCACGTGTACTGAGACACGTATACTGAGGCACGTATACAGAGGCGCGTATACAGAGGCGCGTATACTGAGGCGCGTATACTGAGGCGCGTATACTGAGGCACGTGTACTGAGGCACGTGTACTGAGGCACGTGTACTGAGGCACGTGTACTGAGGCACGTATACTGAGGCACGTATACCGAGGCGCGTATACTGAGGCACGTGTACTGAGGCACGTATACAGAGGCACGTGTACTGAGGCACGTATACTGAGGCACGTATACTGAGGCACGTATACAGAGGCACGTATACTGAGGCACGTATACAGAGGCACGTATACTGAGGCACGTATACTGAGGCGCGTATACAGAGGCACGTATTCTGAGACTCGTATACTGTATAAACATGTGTACTGTGTATGTTGCTGGTACATGTTGATGGTGTATGTTGCTGATGTGTGTTGCTGGTACATGTTGATGGTGTATGTTGCTGGTGTCTGTTGCTGATGTGTGTTGCTGGTACATGTTGATGGTGTATGTTGATGGTGTATGTTGCTGGTACATGTTGTTGGTGTATGTTGCTGGTACATGTTGCTGGTACATGTTGCTGGTACATGTTGCTGGTGTATGTTGCTGGTGTATGTTGCTGGTACATGTTGCTGGTGTATGTTGCTGGTGTATGTTGCTGGTACATCTTGCTCGTGTATGTTGCTGGTGTGTGTTCCTGGTACGTGTTGCTGGTGTATGTTGCTGGTACATGTTGCTGGTGTATGTTGCTGGTACATGTTGCTGGTACATGTTCCTGGTACATGTTCCTGGTACATGTTCCTGGTACATGTTCCTGGTACATGTTGCTGGTGTATGTTCCTGGTACATGTTGCTGGTGTATGTTGCTGGTACATGTTGCTGGTGTATGTTGCTGGTCCATCTTGCTGGTACCTCTCTGAACTTCTGCAGGTACAGCTTGAGCGGCTCCACATACATGTCGAAGCCCAGCGTGGACATAGCGAACAGGATGTCTTCTCCGTTGATGGTTTTCCTCTTCTCCTGGTGACAGCGCTCGGACGCCTCAGACGTGATGAAGCTGATGAACTCAGACACACACTCCTGCACACACTCTTTGGCATCTTTGGCAATCTGCAACGCACAATACATGTGTTACTGTTAATGTGTGTTACTGTGTGTGTGTATATATGTCTGTACATGTGTGCATAAGTGTGTGTATAGGTGTGTGTATATGTCTGTACATGTGTGTATAAGTGTGTGCATATGTGTGTGTACATGTGTGTGTATAAGTGTGCGTATAAGAGTTTGTATAAGTATGTGTACAAATGTGTGTATATGTCTGTACATGCATGTATAAGTGTGTACATATGTGTGTGTACATGTGTGTATATGTGTGTGTACATGTGTGCGTATAAGTGTGTGTACATGTGTGCGTATAAGTGTGTGTACATGTGTGCGTATAAGTGTGTGTACATGTGTGCGAATAAGTGTGTGTACATGTGTGTATAAGTGTGTGTACATGTGTGTATAAGTGTGTACATATGTGTGTATATGTCTGTACATGCATGTATAAGTGTGTACATATGTGTGTGTACATGTGTGTATAAGTGTGTGTACATGTGTGCGTATAAGTGTGTGTACATGTGTGCGTATAAGTGTGTGTACATGTGTGCGAATAAGTGTGTGTACATGTGTGTATAAGTGTGTGTACATGTGTGTATAAGTGTGTGTACATGTGTGTATAAGTGTGTGTACATGTGTGTATAAGTGTGTGTACATGTGTGTATAAGTGTGTGTATATGTCTGTACATGTGTGTATAAGTGTGTACTTATGTGTATAAGTGTGTACATATGTGTGTGTACAAGCGTGTACATATGTGTGTGTACATGTGTGTGTATAAGAGTGTGTACATGTGTGTATATGTGTGTAACTGTGTACATGTGTATATGTGTGTATAAGTGTGTATAAGTGTGTGTGTATATGTGTATAAGTGTGTGTATGTGTGTTACTATGTGTATAAAAGTGTGTATAAGTGTGTTACTGTGTGTATGTGTGTAACTGTGTGTACATGTGTATATGTGTGTGTGTACATGTGTGTATAAGTGTGTGTTACTGTGTGTATAAGTGTGTGTATATGTGTATAAGTGTGTGTATATGTGTATAAGTGTGTGTATGAGTGTTACTGTGTGTATAAGTGTGTTACTGTGTATATGTGTGTATAAGTGTGTTACTGTGTATATGTGTGTATAAGTGTGTTACTGTGTATATGTGTGTGTTACTGTGTATATGTGTGTGTATATGTGTGACTGTGTATATGTGTGTATAAGTGTGTGTTACTGTGTATATGTGTGTGTATATGTGTGACTGTGTATATGTGTGTATAAGTGTGTGTAAGTGTGTGTATAAGTGTGTGTATAAGTGTGTGTAACAACAACTTCCTTCAGCTAAACGCAGACAAAACTGAAATGATTGTCTTTGGTCCCCAGAAACAAAGAGAGAGCGTCATCTGTCACCTACAGTCTCTCTCCCTAAAACCTTCAAACAAGGTCAGAAATCTAGGGGTAATACTGGACTCAGACTTAAATTTTAATAGCCACATCAAATCAGTAACATCAGCAGCTTTTTACCATCTAAAAAACATTGCCAGGATCAAAAACATAGTGTGTAAAGCAGACTTGGAGATTCTTATCCATGCATTTGTCTCCAGTAGGTTAGACTACTGCAATGGCCTGCTCACAGGTCTGTCCAAACAGGCTGTAAAACAGCTGCAGTACATTCAAAATGCAGCAGCTCCAGTCCTGACTAGAACCAGGAAGTACGACCATATTAGTCCTGACTAGAACCAGGAAGTACGACCGCATTAGTCCTGACTAGAACCAGGAAGTACGACCACATTACTCCTGACTAGAACCAGGAAGTACGACCATATTAGTCCTGACTAGAACCAGGAAGTACGACCACATTAGTCCTGACTAGAACCAGGAAGTACGACCACATTAGTCCTGACTAGAACCAGGAAGTACGACCACATTAGTCCTGACTAGAACCAGGAAGTACGACCACATTAGTCCTGACTAGAACCAGGAAGTACGACCACATTAGTCCTGACTAGAACCAGGAAGTACGACCACATTAGTCCTGACTAGAACCAGGAAGTACGACCACATTAGTCCTGACTAGAACCAGGAAGTACGACCACATTAGTCCTTACTAGAACCAGGAAGTACGACCACATTAGTCCTGACTAGAACCAGGAAGTACGACCACATTAGTCCTGACTAGAACCAGGAAGTACGACCACATTAGTCCAGTTCTCAGGTCTCTGCACTGGCTTCCTGTGGCTCAGAGAATAGACTTTAAAACAGCTCTGCTTGTTACAAGTCTCTCCATAGCCTCGCACCAAAATATATTAGTGACATGTTAGTCCCATATGAACCAGCCCGGACTCTGAGGAGCACAGGGACTGGACTCCTGCTGGGACTCTGAGGAGCACAGGGACTGGACTCCTGCTGGGACTCTGAGGAGCACAGGGACTGGACTCCTGCTGGGACTCTGAGGAGCACAGGGACTGGACTCCTGCTGGGACTCTGAGGAGCACAGGGACTGGACTCCTGCTGGGACTCTGAGGAGCACAGGGACTGGACTCCTGTTAGTGCCCAGAGTCAGAACTAAACATGGGGAGGCTGCTTTTCAGATTCATGCTGCTAAAATCTGGAACAATCTTCCTGAAGATGTGAGACAGGCCTCCTCTCTGACAATGTTTAAAACCAAGTTAAAAACGGTGCTGTTTAGCTGTGCTACAACTGAGGGATTTTATATTTTTATTTCGTTTTAATGTTCTGTGATTATTTATGATTTTAATGCTGTCTTGTTCAGAACTTTGAGTTGCCTTGTGTATGAATTGTGCTATACAAATAAACTTGCCTTGCCTAAGTGTGTACATGTGTGTGTATAAGTGTGTACACGTGTGTGTAAAAGTGTGTATAAGTGTGTGTATAAGTGTGTGTAAGTGTGTGTATAAGTATGTGTAAGTGTGTGTATAAGTGTGTGTAAGTGTGTGTATAAGTGTGTGTATAAGTGTGTATAAGTGTGTATGTGTGTGTATAAGTGTGTACATGTGTGTGTACAAGTGTGTACATGTGTGTGTACAAGTGTGTACATGTGTGTGTACATGTGTGTGTACAAGTGTGTATAAGTGTGTACATGTGTGTGTATAAGTGTGTGTACATGTGTGTGTATAAGTGTGTACATGTGTGTGTATAAGTATGTGTACATGTGTGTGTACAAGTGTGTACAAGTGTATACATTTGTGTGTATGAGTGTGTATAAGTGTGTATAAGTGTGTATAAGTGTGTATAAGTGTGTATGTGTGTGTATAAGTGTGTATGAGTGTGTATGAGTGTGTATAAGTGTATACATTTGTGTGTATAAGTGTGTATGTGTGTGTATAAGTGTGTATGAGTGTGTACATGTGTGTATAAGTGTGTATGAGTGTGTATGAGTGTGTATGAGTGTGTATGAGTGTGTATAAGTGTGTATAAGTGTGTATAAGTGTGTATGAGTGTGTACATATGTGTGTATAAGTGTGTGTAAGTGTGTACATGTGTGTGTATAAGTGTGTACATGTGTGTATAAGTGTGTACATGTGTGTGTATAAGTGTGTACATGTGTGTGTATAAGTGTGTGTATAAGTGTGTACATGTGTGTGTAAGTGTGTATAAGTGTGTGTACATGTGTGTGTATAAGTGTATACATTTGTGTGTATAAGTGTGTATGAGTGTGTATAAGTGTGTATGAGTGTGTATAAGTGTGTATAAGTGTGTGTATGAGTGTGTATAAGTGTGTACATGTGTGTGTATAAGTGTGTTTACATGTGTGTGTACAAGTGTGTACAAGTGTGTATAAGTGTGTATGTGTGTGTATACGTGTGTATGAGTGTGTACATTTGTGTGTATAAGTGTGTATGAGTGTGTATAAGTGTGTATAAGTGTGTATAAGTGTGTATGAGTGTGTATAAGTGTGTATAAGTGTGTATGAGTGTGTATAAGTGTGTGTATGAGTGTGTATGTGTGTGTATAAGTGTGTATAAGTGTGTATAAGTGTGTATGAGTGTGTATGAGTGTGTATAAGTGTGTATAAGTGTGTATAAGTGTGTATAAGTGTGTATATGTGTGTATATGTGTGTATAAGTGTGTATAAGTGTGTATGAGTGTGTATGAGTGTGTATGAGTGTGTATGAGTGTGTATAAGTGTGTATGAGTGTGTATGAGTGTATGAGTGTGTATGAGTGTGTATGAGTGTGTATAAGTGTGTATGAGTGTGTGTGTATGTGTGTGTATGAGTGTGTATAAGTGTGTATGTGTGTGTATGTGTGTATGAGTGTGTATAAGTGTGTATGTGTGTGTGTGAGTGTGTATAAGTGTGTATAAGTGTGTATGAGTGTGTATGAGTGTGTATAAGTGTGTATGAGTGTGTGTGAGTGTGTATAAGTGTGTATAAGTGTGTATGTGTGTGTATAAGTGTGTATGAGTGTGTATGAGTGTGTATAAGTGTGTATGAGTGTGTATGAGTGTGTATAAGTGTGTATAAGTGTGTATGAGTGTGTATGAGTGTGTATAAGTGTGTATAAGTGTGTATGAGTGTGTATGAGTGTGTATAAGTGTGTATAAGTGTGTATGAGTGTGTATGAGTGTGTATAAGTGTGTACATGTGTGTGTATGAGTGTGTATAAGTGTGTATAAGTGTGTATGAGTGTGTGTGAGTGTGTATAAGTGTGTATAAGTGTGTACATGTGTGTGTATGTGTGTATGAGTGTGTATAAGTGTGTATGAGTGTGTATAAGTGTGTATGAGTGTGTATGAGTGTGTATGAGTGTGTATGTGTGTGTATGTGTGTATGAGTGTGTATAAGTGTGTATGAGTGTGTATAAGTGTGTATGAGTGTTTATAAGTGTGTATGAGTGTGTATGAGTGTGTATAAGTGTGTATCAGAATCAGAATCAGAATCATTTTTATTGCCAACGTAAGTAACAGGAGGTCACAGACTAGGAAATTGCTTTGGCTCAGTGCAACAGTCAAAAAGATATAATAAAAATAAGAATAAAAAACACTTCTAAAGAATAAATTTAAATTTAAAATAGAGTTACAGTTACTATTTACAATATACAAGTGCACATGGTGCACACAATGTAAGGTGACAGCAGTACAGTGAAGTAAAGTGACGTATGATGGGCAGTAAAGTGACTTTATAAAGGGCGGGGGGACAGGTTAAGAAGTGTTCAAGAGTCCAACAGCAGAGGGGAAGAAACTGTTCTTGTGGCGGGAGGTTCTAGTCCTGATGGACCGCAGCCTCCTGCCTGAGGGGAGTGGTTGGAATAGTCCATGTGCAGGGTGAGAGGGGAGTGGTTGGAATAGTCCATGTGCAGGTGAGAGGGGAGTGGTTGGAATAGTCCATGTGCAGGTGAGAGGGGTCGGCTGTGATATGACCAGCCCGGCCTCGAGCTCGGGCAACGTACAGGTCCTGCAGCGATGGAAGGCTGCGGCCGATCACTTCCTCTGCAGAGCGCACAATGCGCTGTAGTCTCTGTTTGTCCCTGACTGTGGCTCCAGCGAACCACACGGTGATGGAGGAGGTGATGGAGGAGGTGATGGAGGAGGTGCTGGAGGAGGTGAGGATGGACTCGATGATGGCCGTGTAGAACTGCACCAACATCTGTGCAGGCAGCTTGGCTTTCCTGAGCTGCCGCAGGAAGTACATCCTCTGCTGGGCCTTCTTGATGAGGGAGCTGATGGTCGGCTCCCACTTGAGGTCCTGGGTGATGGTGGTGCCCAGGAAACGGAAGGACTCCACAGAGGTGATGGGGGAGTCCATCAGGGAGGGTGGGGGCGGGGGGACAGTGCTCTTCCTGAAGTCCACAATCATCTCCACTGTCTTCTGGGCGTTCAGCTCCAGGTTGTTACCACTGCACCAGGACACCAGCCGGTCCACCTCCCTCCTGTAGGAGACACCAGGACACCAGCCGGTCCACCTCCCTCCTGTAGGAGACACCAGGACACCAGCCGGTCCACCTCCCTCCTGTAGGCGGACTCATCGTTGTTGGAGATGAGTCCAATGAGGGTGGTGTCGTCCGCGAACTTGATCAGCTTCACGGAGTCGTGGCTGGAGGTGCAGTGGTTGGTGTACAGGGAGAAGAGCAGGGGAGAAAGAACACAGCCCTGTGGGGCTCCTGTATTTATAATCCGAGAGTCCGAGACATTCTTCCCCAGACGCACTCGCTGCTTCCTGTCCGTCAGGAAGTCAGTGATCCACCTGCAGGTGGAAACGGGCACGTTGAGCTGGGAAAGCTTGTCCTGGAGCAGGGATGGCAGGATTGTGTTGAAGGCAGAGCTGAAGTCCACGAACAGGACCCTGGCGTAGGTCCCCGGGGAGTCCAGGTGCTGTAGGATGTGGTGGAGGGCCAGGTTAATGGCATCGTCTACAGATCTGTTGGCTCTGTAGGCGAACTGCAGGGGGTCCAGTAGGGGGGAGGTGAGGGACTTGAGATGGGAGAGAACCAGGCGTTCAAATGACTTCATGACGACAGACGTAAGTGCTACAGGTCTGTAGTCATTGAGTCCTGTGATCCTGGGCTTCTTCGGGACGGGGACAATGATGGAGGATTTGAAGCAGGCCGGGACATGGCAGGACTGCAGAGAGGAGTTGAAAATGTCCGTGAACACAGGAGTAAGCTCACTGGGGCAGTGTCTCAGAGTGGCCGGAGACACGTGGTCCAGGCCAGGAGCTTTGCGGGGGTGCAGCCTCAAGAAGAGTTGTTTAATCTCTTTAGAGGCTATTGTTAGGCTGGGGGCAGGGCTGATGGGTGGGTCGTTAGAGTAGTGGGGGGTGGGGGAGGGAGAGGTGTCAGGGGCAGCATCAAAGCGACTGAAAAATAAGTTCAGTTCAGTGTATGAGTGTGTATGAGTGTGTATAAGTGTGTATAAGTGTGTATGAGTGTGTATAAGTGTGTATAAGTGTGTATGAGTGTGTATAAGTGTGTATGTGTGTGTATGAGTGTGTATAAGTGTGTATGAGTGTGTATAAGTGTGTATAAGTGTGTATGAGTGTGTATAAGTGTGTATGTGTGTGTATGAGTGTGTATAAGTGTGTACATGTGTGTGTATGTGTGTATGAGTGTGTATAAGTGTGTATGAGTGTGTATAAGTGTGTATGAGTGTGTATGAGTGTGTATGAGTGTGTATGTGTGTGTATGTGTGTGTATGTGTGTATGAGTGTGTATGTGTGTGTATGTGTGTATGAGTGTGTATAAGTGTGTATGAGTGTGTATAAGTGTGTATGAGTGTGTATGAGTGTGTATGAGTGTGTATGAGTGTGTATGAGTGTGTATGAGTGTGTATGAGTGTGTATGAGTGTGTATAAGTGTGTATGAGTGTGTATGAGTGTGTATAAGTGTGTATGAGTGTGTATAAGTGTGTATGAGTGTGTATAAGTGTGTATGAGTGTGTATGAGTGTGTATGAGTGTGTATAAGTGTGTATGAGTGTGTGTGAGTGTGTATATGTGTGTATAAGTGTGTATAGGTGTGTACATGTGTGTGTATGTGTGTATGAGTGTGTATGAGTGTGTATAAGTGTGTGTATGAGTGTGTGTATGAGTGTGTATGAGTGTGTACCTTGCCGGTCTGAGGCACAGCGTTCTTCATGATGCGGGCCACGTTAGCGATAGGTAAATAAATGTCCTGTTCTCTGAAGTTC